TTGGCGGATCATATTTTTCGACTATTGTATAGCCCCTTTTTTCGTCGAAGAACAAGAGAGAGAGAGAGAGAGAGAGAGAGAGAAAATGAAAAAAGAGAATCGATCGATCGCCGAGAAAATCTTTAGGAAAGATCGCGTGGTATTTTCGATTTTTTGGACACGCCATGTACTGGGATTCGCGCAACAGGAAGAATAATATTCCAGCCATTGTAGATTACACGTTCAAGACCAAAAAAAGCGAAACCGGTTGAAGCAGGATGGCACTCAGGATTAGGAAGAGATTCGTTCTAAAGATGGAAAATTGGACGATGCACGGCGGATACGGGCTTGACGATGATCGATGATAACAATGGGACAAGTGAATTTTCGGCTCGATACTTAACGAACTCGTCTTCAACGTTTTCGTTTCGTTTAGGTTCAGTGGACAACAGTGTACGCTCGCTATCGTTAGGATTTTACTCGAGGATGCGTAAAGCTCCGCGCGTGTACGTAGACCGCATGCAAAAAAAAAAACACACACACACACGTTGTAGGATCCTCCCGGTACGGAATCTCGCGTTGTATCGATATTTCTTAAAAACACGACCCATTCGTTCGGGGCGGATGTGTTCGATACGATGAGAAACCGACAGGAACAACACACACACACACACACATACACACACACATACATACGGGAAGAGAGAGAGTGGCACGTGGAAAGATGATATAGAGAGGATGTACGGAAATCTCGATCTATATGGATTTTCGTGGATAGATATTAATACCATATTTTCCGAGAGTTACGAGAGGACGTTGTTACTGTAAAGATATGTAAGTTTATTTATCGCTAATAAAAATGAACGTTTAAGAAAAATAACCGAGTTTGTTGTTGTTGTTGTTGTTGTTGTGAATATTCATGTGCACCAATTCTTTTGTTGTTCGTATCGATTATTACATCCGTTTCTTCGAAGCATGTATCACGCGTGGAAAAAATAATTTCGAAGAATTTGCACGATCGAATTTTTATTTCTTGTCTCCTGTGTGTGTGTGTAAACGGTTCGCCGACAACGAACTATTTTCTCGATCTTTGTGGTAATTAAAAAAATAGTAATCGAGAACAAAATAACACGAGATTGTTGGATATATATATATATATATATGAAAGGAACGCAAGCGCTCGCTAAAGCGTTTCACACTTCGTGCTGATCGTTCACAATTTTCACAAGGGGAGAGTGATGCACGAAGAAATCGACGTGAAAACGGTGAAATTTTGTTCAGTAGATTTATTAGACCCTTTAAAATATTTGAAACAGCGTGCGGCTCTTATTTGGCGTAACAGTGAGATATCGTAATAAGGTACACAGTACGAAGCTCAAAGAGAGCGAAGCGATCAAGATCGATTTAAAATTCACAATTCAACCGTTCGATTCCTCGACGCATGCTCGTAAAAATCGAGCGCGGGGAATCGAGATCCGCGTCCTTGAGAGTTTTTTTTTTTTCCTTCCTCTGTTTCAACTGTGCAATCGCCAGTTTTTCACGTCACGTTCACGCTCGTCCACGTGTTCCCCCCAAAAAAGGGCGGAACGCAACCTCTGATGGCATAATCCACGATCGTCGTCCGGTTTAAACGATCGCGATCGATCGTTTCGTTTTACTGCGGTGCTCGATTCTTCTTAACGCTTACTTACGTTACTTTTACTTTATAGATGGAGAATAGAGTACGTGACTTAAGACAAGATTAGACGAGAGAGAGTAAAATCGAAAAATCCACATATTCTTACGAGAAGAAATCGATTATCAATCGGTCGCTCTTTTTTTTTCCTTTTTCTTTTTTCTTTTTTTCTTTTTTCTTTTCCTTTTTCTAATCGATCGAGACACGGGCGACCTGGACATCAAGAGATTCGTCGAACGAGTAATTAAGCGAGGAAATGGACGTTCGTCTTGGGAAAAGGAGCACAATCATTGCAATCTTCGTTTTCTTTTTTTTTTTTTTTTTTTTTCTAATCCAGAAGAAGATCGTTTTTTTTTTATCAATGGTCGTGTCTCCGTTTCCCTGATCGATCCCTCTCGCGTCTCGCATCGCATTGAATCGTCGAGCATAGTCCACGAGGACTCATCGGTAGAGATACTTTGCAACGGTTAGTTAACGAAGAAGATTAGATGACCCGTCGCTTGTTGGGACGTTATGTTACGCGAAACGTGAGCTGATATTTTTGTTTTTTTTTCTCCTCTTAGTAAATTACATCTTTCATTTTGCTCACGTTGCAATTGAATCAAGGGTGCAACTTTTTTTTTTAACATAGAGAAAATAATAATAATAATAATCTCGTTGAAATTGAAACGATCGAATTTCCTTGAACGACGCACGATTTTAATATCGATATTTCGCGTAATATCGCGTAGCGAGCTGGCAAAAGATAGAGTTGCTCCGATTCGGGTAACATAAAATCGCGCCAAGCGTTGTATCTACAATTCTTACGATAGATGCTTGTCGAAAAAGATCCTCTGACATCTTTGACCAAAGGTAACGAGCATTAGTAGCAACTAGGCCGTGATGAATCGCGTTTCGAATTGTCGCGCGATAACCTAGCCGTGGTAGAGTCAGAGAGTGGCACGCTCTATCGGTTCGAAACGCAACTATCTTTCGCGCCGGCGCGAATTTTAAAATTTTTCCTTCTCCTCCTTTCATACTTTCTTCGTTCCATCCCTTTTTTCTTCTTCTTCTTTTTTTTCTTTTTGCTTCATTCGATGTACAACGTCGAAGACGAGCAAAAGATATATATATATATATTATTTTTTTTTCGAAGAAATCGTATCGTCGAACATCGGATCGAATTTCGATCCACGACGCTCGAATTACATGCAACGAAGTGAATGTCAGAGGGAGGGGGGAAAGTATGCGACGAACGTGTATGTCCGTCGTCCTGCTGGCTCCTCGTTAATTCGTTCTATCTAACACAGACACGAGAATAAGTAAAATCCTAGTAACCCGGGGACAGCACCTCCTCCTCCTCGTCCTCCTCGTCGTCGTCGATCCCCGGCTCTCCGAGAGCGTGGACGAATTCTGGAAACAGGAAGACCCTTTTTTGTAATATATATATATATATATATATATATAGGCAACCGCGTGTTCTTAAGGACGTCGCAAAAATAGATAGGTTTGTCGATTCACATCTCGCCCCTACTTTCGTCCCTCCTCTCGAAACGACAACTTCGAATTCCTCCCACAGAGTGGCATAGGATTACGGGAAACTTAGGCGCGTATCGAAAACTTCTTCGGCATAGAACAGAATTATAAAATAAAATTCGTTGTAGCCAGCCGGTGCTCGTAAATAATATAAATTCCCGGCAACGACGCAAACTCGATGAACGTGAGCTACGTAACGAGTTGTAACGTAGGAGGAGATAGCGATCGAACTGCAAGGAGGAGGAGCAGGGAGGAACGAGATAGTTTCTTGGAGCTCTAATGCGACGACGGATCCCTCGTTTCGAGAAATAAGGATTGGAAAATCACGCGAAATCTTTGGCCATCTTCGAAGAAAAAAGGGAGGAGGGAGGGGAATAATCGTGATCGAGACGTTCATCGTAGGCGATAATGCACGTTGGCCTGAGAATCTATGACACTCTCGGAAGGGCGGAGGATGCAAATGGCGGAAGATCGAGGCGATTTTTTTCGTTTCGATTACAATTTCAACCCGATGTCCGATACTTCTCCGATCCCCTTTAACTTTATCCGCCAATATTTCAAGATTGTCGATCTCGTCTCCAATGGCCCCTTATCTCCAAATTCTTTCGCGTGTTTCCGCCCAAAATTTTTCCACCCTTCCGCGCTCGACGAAAGAAAAAGCACGAAAGCATATATCGAGAATTGCCGGCTCCTCGTATTTTTCGATTATTAGAAACTTTTATGGGGGAAGGGGGATAGGGCTTACCGTAGAAATCGATACGACCGTCTCCGTCCACGTCCACTTCCTTGATCATATCCTCGACTGAAACACAGAGAGAAAGGCAGCTTACGTTTTGTGTTTCGTGTCACGATTTGAAAATTATCGGAGATGTGAATCTCGAGAGCGAGCGGAAATGAACATACAGGGTTTTTTTAGTTTTTTTTTTTTTTTAGAAGAAAACAAGAATTCGTGATATTTTTATGCTTCCTTGCTAGTTTACGTAACTAACGTATACACAGATATTTCAATGGAAATTTTATTATCATCTGTTCTATCTTTTATCCGTTTCTTTTTTATGACGATGGCTAGAAAAATGTATAAAACAAAAATAGCATAAAAAGTATAAAAAAAAAAAAAAGAATATAAAAATATAAAACTTTCACCGAAGAGATAAAGAATACTATCGGTTACGTGGAATCCTATCAGTTCTACTCAGTCTCGTAGAAAAGGAAAAAAATAATATTTTATCGATCTTTTTTTTTTACTACGCTTCGTGAAATTCTCCTCGATTTTACGCGCATGTTGCCTAGAATGTTGTAATATCGCGTCGGATTGAAAGCCGATTAGATCGATTGTTAATAGCTTGTCTCAGGTATATTAATATCCCCGCCATTAGCGCGCGTGTCATCATAGGATGACACTCACCGACGCGGAAAATATTGCATTTAGCCTGATTAAAGTCACAGCCCATGGATGCCCGTTCGTATGCTAATTGACGAGGCAAAGAGCGCGCGGCAATTTAATTTTTCCCCGCCCCTCTCCGTTAAAATCCCAAGTGTTAGGGCGCGAAACATCATGCGATTAATAATTCCACGCTTCTCCCGCGCTAAAAACACTTCGATATAATGTAACCGCTTTCCCCTCCCCACCCTTCGCGTGACACGTGTAACGCGTGGAAAAAGGTGGGAAACGACGGTGGCGCGAGACGTGGCGCGATCGTGAATTCTCCGTTTTAATTCCATCCGATAAATTCGATTAATTCGACCGAGTTAATTCCGTTACCGCAAATTTTCGCGTTAATCGTTGAATTTTCCCCTCCCTGATTCTCTCTCTCCTCTTCTTTTTTTTTTTTTTTCGTTTACCTTTTGATCGAATTCCCCCCCCTCCCCTCCCCCAAGGATTAATCTTAATTCCTTGGATTTGCGTGATTGTAATTAACCTACGATCTCGTAATTATTTCGATTGAAGTTGGGTCAAAGATCGATTTTAAATCAGTACGGAACTTTATTTCCTTTCTATTTGGAGAAAGATGAAAAGTGTCACAAGTATTACACTTCGATTCATTCGATCGTATTCAGTCTCTGATCGATACAATTGATAATCTACGGGTGAATACACAACACCTGCGCGAATTTCCCATGATCCTCCGTGGACGATTAATATTGTTACTCCATAATTCCCTATTAATTCTAATCACGATCGCTTCAAGTTTGCCAAATAAGCCGAAGAAAGTCTCGGGAGAGAGCCACGAGAGCTCTCAGTAAAGTTTCCTCTTTAAAACTGGCTCAACTCGATTAAAAAACGTAGCCGAGTACGATATTCTTTTCTTTTTATACGTAATCACAATTTGAAACATCGATTTCAAAAGAATTCAGAATTCCCTCTTTTTTTCCCCCGTCCCCTTCTTTCTAAGCGTATTCTCTCGCGGAATAACTAGATCGCGGATTTTTTATCGCGGTTAAAACAAAAGTGCAAATATTCAACTTACGTTACACGCATATATCATTCGAAATTAATTTTCATCGTGTAAATTTATTTTTATATAAAATTTCTAGAATATTATTAACATTGCACGATGCATAAAAATAATTTTTTCATACCCTCCCCCCCCTTCTTTTTAAATATATCGTTTACCCGTTATTGTTTACCCGTATAAAATTGAGAATATGCGTATAATACACGTATTGTTGTTTCAGTATCGTATCGACCTTTTTCTGACCTTATATAAATAAACCATTCAGTACGTCCCCACAATGATATATCAATGCATCGTTACGATTAAATATATTGTTCGTGATATTCAGTTATGTAAAATATCAAAAGAAGAAAACGTATAACGCGTCCATATTCTTTTTTTTTATTCATAAAATTAAACTTTTCGCTTTTCAAAAAAATACACGTGTAACGGATAGATATAGAAGAGTATATTGGAGTATAAAGAAAATCGGCAAGAAAGTCGTCCAACGAAAAAACTAATAAACTAATAAAGGATCGTAAAATGGAGTGATTTTCTCGAAGGGGACTGCCATTATCGTAATCGACTTGGTGGCCCAGGGCAATTATTAATACGTACACAGAAATACGTGTACGGCACAAATTGATTCCGGTCAATTAGTAACCCCATCCCATATATTGGACGGATTATTACGTTACCCAGGTATAGATGGAGATGAATGGGGAGCGTACTCGCGCAATTTACCATCTTGCTGCACGGCCACGATGTATTAACGCAACTTTGGACAAATTCTGGCCGAGATGCCTCGCCGAGATTGTTCGCTGAATGAGACTTCCGCCCGGAACCGGAACCGGGGATAGTCTCATTGTTTTTTGCGCGGTAAGTTTGTTAGCTCGCTATGACGAGAAGAAAAAGATAACGCTATCTTTTCATAAGATAAAGAACGAAGAAAAATCAATCGAGAGGGGAGATGGAAAGAGGAGAAGGAAGGAATGCGAGTGGTGGAAGATGGGATAGATGGGCGATGTAAATTGGAAGAGAAGGATTCGAAATGGATCGATTCCACGTCGATACGATGATGATTCGAAGGAAAAAATAAAAATTCACGAGGTAGATAGAAATTTCTCGAGCGAAATTTTTTCGAAAGTATTATTCGATTCTTTATTTATATTCCCCTATTCCCTTTACACCCGCCTGAAAGATAAAAAATAGCCGCGTCTTCAATTCCCTTTTAATTCTGAAAATTTCAACGGGATTCGCCACGAATTTATACATCATCGCGACATCGGGGGACACGCATCTCTCTAAATTTCATCGCTTTAACATTTCAAAGATGCTTCGAATAAAACATCTCGCGTACCTTTTTATCTATATTTCACAAGATACTGCGAATCGAATTTCTCGCATCGTAAAAAAGGGGGGAAAAAAAGAGAAAATCTCATATCCAACCAACTGTCCTCGACTTTGAGAGTCGTTTCGCGCGTAACGAAATTTCACGCGAACCTTCCTTAGATCCATCGCGCGATCGCTCTTAACGCGACGTCGCGCTTTTGAATTGCAAAAAAGCTGGCGAGATTGCCGCGTAACTAAGGGAGAAACTAACGGTCGAGGACTGTCGATCGGCAACCGACGTTTATTCACGCGAGAAACTTTTGCCAACTTTTGTCTCGAGACGTTCCCTCCATTTTTTTATTACGGATTCGAACGAAATTAGAGGGCACACACGTCGGCTAATCCCGCGAGATAACAGAAGAACGAAATCTTACATCACGTTTTGTGATAATAACACCAACCCGTTGTCTCCTACCTTCCCTTTCTTATTTCGCTTCATTTCCCTCGGATTTGTTCGTTGGAACGATATTAGAACGTATCTGTCTCGCTTTTTTCCAAACGAAGTGTATACATTTTTTTCGATAACACGTACCTCGAAAGAGAAATTTCCTCGACGAAGAAGTGTAGAAATTTATATAGAGAATAAGGCGGAAGGATGTTTGCAACGATTTCGGGGGCGCATCCGTGAAAGTTTGTGTCGGTAATCCGCCGCGACAGTTACTCCGTTGCTCGATCCTTCGTTCCCGCGTTTTCTAAGCGACGCGCGAAGACGACGCGAGATTGGAATCGATTTGTCGCGACGAAAGGACAAGCTCGAAATTGCTGTCGAGCGAAAAGTTTCCCGTCTCTCTCTCTCTCTCTCCCCCTCTCTCTTACGGCAAGTTTTTGTCTCGGCAGGCATGTTACTTGGTCGCTTTCCCCCAGTCGCTCGAGAGTTTGCTCGAAAGTCGAATCAATATTTCCGCTTTGCTTAATCAATTTGGAATCGGTTGAGTGCAATTAACTTGCCTCTTAAGTGGTCGTCTGCAATCGAATTAAACTCTCTAACGGCAAATTTGTTAAAACCTGGAGGGGAACGTGTTTTTAAAAGTTTGCACCACTTCGTACAGACGCAATCCGTGGACAAAGTCGTGAAAATCTTTCGTAAAGAAATTTGAATCTTCGTGGAAAAATTTGAAGAATCGTGGAAAATAATTTTTAAATATCTTGCGATGTAGAGATACGACTCTTTTCAGATTCTTAAACTGGCCGAAACCTCGTGCATTGAATACCGCGTACTTGTACATCTATCATATTCCACTCCACTTTTCTACGATAAAAGCTGCTGAAGCGATGCCCCGTGTCACGCTACATTCCCTTGACGTTTCGTTCACTCGCCACTTCTATGTATTCTATCATGTTTGGTATTATTTATTATTATTATTATTTGCACCGTTGATTTATTTATTCAACCCCTCGATTCGTTTGCGCGTGTTTTCCGTGTTTGATTTCGAACAAAAGGATCAAATATTAAAACGTGTTCAAATAGAGAGAAGAATGGAAAGCGGCGATGCATCACAAACGAAACACGATGTTGAAGATACACAATCAATGGCAAATACGTACTCTCTTCTTCGGACAAGTCCTCGCCGAGACATTGCAGCACTGCCCTCAAATCGGATGCGGTGATGTATCCCCGATTGTGTTTATCGAATACCTGCAACCGAACGGAAAGAAATCGCTACAGAGATCTTCTTTGTTGTTGTACGCTTTATTTATTATCATTATTATTATATCGCAAACAACACTATTGGTAGAATGTTAAATATTTATTCCAACGAATATATTTAAATTGTTGGAGAACTTTTGCCCTTGAATTTTCTTTCCACGCAATTTTCTCCAACGTTTTGGGAAGATTTTACCACTTCATTTATTATCCAATATTTAACCGGTCGTATTCGACGTTCAAACATTTAAAATGGAAAGAAATGAAATCCAATATCTACTATATTTACCTAACATTATAATCGCGTGATCCACCTAAAATTTCTAGAGACTTGCCACAATAATTCACAATTTTCTAATGCGCACGATTCGATCGACGAATTCGACGAAAAGTAGCGCTTGGGAAAATAAATTCTTCACCGACACCACGATTAGAGCAAGTTTCGCAACACATCCCTTCATCTCGAGGATAAATGGAATTAGCAGAGCAAGGAAAATGGCAACCGTCGTCTCCTTTCTCTCCTTTGCACGAAGCGAGGGTGATGATAATCACGCGGTCGCGCGACAGTTTCGCGGGATAACATCGACGCGCGCGTCTATTATTCATCTGCCGCGACACCCGCCCGTCACACTTTCGCCGAGGATTGATGCCGCTGTTGGTGTCCACCGTGCTTTTCGACTCTCCACGCTTCGTTACAGGCAAATTGATATAGGTTTGCTCGCACGCTCGAAGAGAAACGAGGACACGTACGAGAGATAAGAAGTCACCATTCCGTTTGGATTTTCAGTGATGGAAGTGTGAGAGGAAGTTCATTGAACGAGGATAACGAGAAGCGGATCAGCGAAGAAACGGTTATTTTCATGGCGGATTTTAATGATGGCTGGTTTTCGATATCGAGGAAATTGTTCCTGATCTCATCAGAAGCAATTTAAATAGAGAGTTTAAAAGTTTCTCCAAGCAAGTTGCGATATATATTTACGATGATTCGACGTGTATATGATTCATTTCTGTGGATGGATGGTATATTTATGAATTTTATATATATATATATTATAACATATGCTGTTGTATATGTTGAATAATAGCGTAATTTGTTCCTCATATTGCGGTTACGCGTTCGATCCACGGGGTTATTGCTTTGCAACGTGTTGAAAATTGCAAAATGAAATTGCACGCTTGTTTATTGGTTATCTGGAAATCGCTCAGGTCGAAACTACTTTGCTATTGTACAGATCCACGTGCGTCGTAACGATAATACGCGTTGTAAAGTTAAAAAAGAAGGAAAGAATTATCCCACGTTGAATGGAATAATGCGTTCCCCCAGATGTGCCGAATTGCCGCTTCAATTTCCCATCGTTGCAGGATCGTCGCTTAAGGCGGGGCATACGCATAGTTCCTAGAAGAAGAAGAAGAAGAAGAAGAAGTCGAAAAGCTTAACGAGCACCATCTCCTTACGATACTACTCTCTCTTTCTCTCTTTCTCTCGTTCGAAAGAGCAATATGCAGTCGCTCTTTATTTCAATGATGGCACGCATCGATCCTCCTCGTACAAAATACCCGCCTCTCTGTTCCAAGTCGGGAAAACCTACTTTTAGAACAACGCGCTTCACGCCAGATTATTTACAGAATAATGTAAAGTTTCAGCCTCGTTCAACGGAACAAGGATAAAGTAGTAACTAAATACCACTTGATATTCGCCTCTCTTAACCTTCCAACCCTTTTAAACGAGTTTAACGCACAACAATGGCGCGCCCAACTTTTCTCCCCCCTTTCGTCAATTAAACGAGTTACGTTTCGATCCGAATCGGCTTCCATATGCCTATATCCCGGGGCAAAAACTCGCCTCGACTTTTCTCACTCCTTCTCTCCCTCCCTTCCCCCCTTCATCTTCCACCGCTTTCGTCTCGAGGTCAAAGGTGAGAGGACGCGGTGGGTGATTGCGAATCGACCGGCTTCCAGGTGGCGGAACTCGGCGAGTTCTCTCCCATTACAGTTTAACGATTACACAGTTTTCTGTTTCTCCGTGCTGGAAATCGTTGCCTCCGTTTCCGAGGGAAGAACGTGGTGGTTCTGTGGAAGGAAATGGGAGAAAAAGTGTCGAGATACGAGGCACTTCTCGCGTCGAATCGGCGATAGGAAATCGCAATCAACCAGCCATTACGCCAATTAGCGAATCATTTAGCCCTCCATCCCCCTAACCATTCCATTGTTTGCCACTGGCGGTTCGAAACTGGCGCCGAGGTCGAGTTCGACGAACGGGTTTCGTCATAATCAACGTATCGTCGTTTGCATAACCATGCTCCGCTATCCGACCGCGCATCACGCTTTCATGGCAATTTTTCCGCAATTTTTCGTTTGGTCGCCACACCAATTGAACAAATTCGAATCGATCGAGAATCGAGTTCGAAGTTGAATCGAACGGATCGGTCGGAACACGAAGCGTTGAACTGATTTTTCTTTTTTCTTCTTCTTCTTCTTCTTCTTCTTTTTTCCTTGGAATATTTAGAGCAGCCACGAGTAATGGAAAAATTAAGGAGGGAGAGATTCGAAATGAGCGGTCTATGGTGGTTATTATGTAGGGAGAAGTAAGTGTCGATCGAGTTGCAAAGGTTAAGGACGATTAATGCACGTTTCTACGTCAAGCCTTGTTGAAACAGTGTCATGGCCGAGCGAAGGAGGCTAATGAGGAAAAATCTGTCGCCCATTGAAGCTTCTGCCAATTTTGCCTTTCTATAAGCCGAGGTAATAGAATGAAATATCCAACGTGTATAAAATATAGGAAGAAATTGGAAAAAAAAAAAAAGAGGTAATCCAATGAAAGGAAAGTACGTATAAGATAATTTTAAGAGAAACATTCCTGAATGAAAAATTTTAAAATATATAGGAGGAAATTGGAAAAAAAAAAAGTAATCCGATGAAAGGAAACGTATAAGATAATTCTAAGAGAAACACTCTTAAATGAGAATTTTAAAATAATCGAATTCTATTCCCATTATTTATCCTGTTATTTTTTTCCGACAAACGTGCAGAGAGCGGAATAAATAGAATGTTAATAGAGAATGCAATAATGTTTCAACGAAACTATATCTTTCATTTCTTCTACGTATCATAATTACGATAAACGCATACGTCGTTTAAAAAAAAGACACCTAGAAAATTTCGAAAAGGAAAGTTATAATTACATTTTTCAATAAAAATCTTTCTTAACAAGTATAAGCATCGTAAATAACGTATCAAATTCGTAGATAATTCTAAAAAAAAAAAAGAAAAAAGAAAAAAAGAAAAATAAGTAAAAAAAAAAATATTCGTCCCGACAGTCCATCTCTCCGAGACTTACTCGACCGCATATATATGCTAATGCGAGGAAAAGATTAAAATCCTCGATTTTTCGTATCCAATTTATCCGATCTAAGATCACCGGCCCCTCTCCCATGCACACGATCATTCGTCTCGCGGAGACGCGTGTACGAGCGACAGAATAAATCATGTCCTCCGCCTCTTGTCCTCCCGAGTTAGATAACGAGGATGATTGAGAGAGAGAGGGAGGGAGAGATTCGAAGTAGAAGAAGCTCCAAGACGCGAGTATTATCTCGTTTCTCCGACAAATGGGCGGAATTTGGCGGAGAGGGGGGGATGAAATCGAAGAAAGGATTACGGAGGAGGATTGGTAGCCGCGGCCGCGATAAGGCGGTAATCGCGAGGCGTTAAGGCGGCGAGACGTGACGAACGTTTTCGCGATCTTCGAAAATTTTCGAAAGGAATCTCGAGTCCAGTGCGAGGGATCAAGTATTAAGATCCGCTCTAATTCCTGGAACCCTCGTGTTACCATCGCGTAACCAATTAGCCCCGTTGTTCTAAGCCCCTGCCCCGAGTACGGACACTTTGCGATATTAAAAGTGGCTCCCTTAAAAGCGGCCGCATTATCCTTGCAAGCGACCGCCTCTATTTTAGCCCCCGTAAACCCGATGAGAAGCCACTTTCGTCGATTAAGGGGCAATTGGTTATCGAAAGGGAGGGAGGGGGGGAGAGAATAACGTGGATCCTTTCTTTTTTTCTCCCGTCGCCGGGCAAAAGGAAAGTCGAAGTCGTTGATTCACGACGTTACTTTTATTATCCGTCCTCTTTTGTCGATCTACATTCGATTCAAAGGCAGATACTCTCGAGACATTCGGAATGGATTTTCGAATTCGCGTCCTGTTCGCTCCCCCAAGTTTCTTTGCCCGGGTATTTTATCTTTCTTTCGATCCATATGTCGGTTGTTCCCGATACGCGTGTTATACGATTGATATATTGATTCGTATATATATATATCTTATCGACGAGTTCTTTCGTCCTCCATTAGAATATCGTGATACGATATCTAGTACGAATCTGTGTATCGAGTTCCTTTGACCCGTTTCATTTCTTTTTCCATTTCTTTCTTTTTTTTTTCTTCTTCTTTTTTTCCCCCTCCCCCTCGTTTTCTCGCGCGAAAATCCGTTGAATCGCAAATTAAGCCGCGTTATAAGTTTCGATCAAGTCGTAACAACTTCGATCGAATTAAACATCTCCGATTGCAACCAATCAACGTTCCATTTTATACGAAACGAAATTCAATTTTCCCGTAATAATTGAATATCCCGTCGATCGCGGGATAAATATTAGCCAGGAACCAATTATACGTTAAAAATAGTTCTCGATCTATAGCGAGTAAACGAGTTAACTCTGTCTAAAAAGAGGGACGCATCGCGAATGTTAATTTAAACAAATAAGAGCGGAAAAGCAAAGCGGAAGCATTCTCTCGGGAATCGGCCGAAAATAAATGACGGCCAGTTATATGTATATATATATTCGTTCTCCTGTATCTGTTTTTCTCTTCTTTCTTTCTACCGTTATTTTTTCGCTAATATTCGTTCTTTCTCGCCCCTTTTTTCTCTTGAACGCAATAAATCTTAGCAATCGTTCGCTTTATACCCCTCTCCACCTACCCTCGCTCTATCCCTTTCTCTCAA